GATAGGTGAGCTGTTACTGTAGTTATAATAAGTTATTTTAGTACCGTTTAATGGCAGGCTGTTCAAGTATCTCCATGTAAATATGCCTTTTCTGAATATCATTGCTTTATGAAAAGATACCAATTGTAAACCAGTGTGTCTCAGTTGAGGCTGATTTTGCCCTAGAGGGTACAATTGGCAATGCCTGGAGACTTTTTGACTTTCGTGATGGGGGAGGGCTTGTTAAAGGCATCTGGTCAGGGGAGGCCCAGGGGATGCTGTTAAGCATCCTACGATGCACAAGATAACCTCCCACCAACAAAGAATGATCCTGCCCGTGGTGTCCATGGTGCTGAGGTTGAGAAAGCCTGTCCTAAATCATGTATGTGATTTTCTTGTTTTGCTTAGTTGTTGTAACGACTGAGAAACGGCAATAATAAAAATGGAATATGCCGTGTCAGCTCTTCACCTGTCCCCTCAGTACTGTTGTAGCCAAACAGAACATGCAGGGGAGAAGGCGGAAGAAAAGAATTCTTACAGAAACAAGACGTAAGAGGAAAGAAGAGAAGGTAATGAGTCAATGAGATGACAGGCAGAAAAAAAATTGATGAGTGTCTCTCACTCCAAATTACTGTTGTGAAAGAATGGGTTGAATCTGAGCTTAAAAATTTAAAAATTTGGCCAGGCATGGTAGCTCATGCCTGTAATCCCAGCAATTTGGGAGGCTGAGGAGGGAGGATCAACCGAGGTCAGGGATTTAAGACCAGCCTGACCGACAGGGTGAAACCCCGTCTTTATTGGGGGTCAGGTGAAGTACAACACACAAGACACCTGATGGGTTTTCTCATGCTTTTGTGGGTCACTGGGTCCCGGTGGGGGAGGGCAAGGAGGGTCTATGGCAAGAAGTAGCCCCATCACACTGGGCAGTCACCTGGTCCCCTGGGCAGGGTGCTCACGGCCTTAGTGTAGAAACGTGGAAGTATTAGGAAAACACAGTTTTAAAATTTACCATACATATGGACATCACACACACCCTTTCCAATCTTGTCTCTTTCAAATAAATTATTTGCGCGGGACTCAACAGCCACGAAGCGGCCTTCCCAGAAGTGGCCCTGGTTGGAGTGGCACCCAGCCTCTGTTGCCCGCTGTCAGGGCTGATACGACGCACAGGTAAATAGCCGTGATAAAAGGAACAGCAGGAGAGAGAGAAGCAGAGTGTGGCAAGATGCCCTCCAATTTTCCTCTTTTTTGTGGAGAGGTCAAAGGTCCATCATGCATGATTAAAACTTTAATTAAATATACTTGAATTCTAGTTTAAAATGTAGCTTCACTCTCCACTGGACACTTTAGGTTTTCCAATAAGATGATAAATCTCAGTTGCCATAGAAATTTTACTCCCTGAAATGTTATTAAAAGTAGGTTTTTGTTATCTGGCAAAACTCATCATGTGGATTACTGTTGATAATGATAGGGAGATTCCTTGTGAGTTGAAGAAAGAAACAAGGAAACTGGCATTTGTTGAGACTAGGAATACCACTGCTGTTCCTTGTTTTGCAAGCATGCTCTCATTTACTTTTCTTCACCAAAATCGCAGGTGAGTATCACCACCCATTTGATAGTTGAAGAAGCTGAAACAGAGAGACAAAATATTTTGTACAAGACCACAGAGCTGAGAATGTGGGAAGCACCAAGGTCTGTGGCTTTCAAGCCTTTGAACCCAACACCACACTCTCTCTCCAATAATCTAGAAAGGAATGCATGATTTATCTTCCAAAACAGAGCTTCCAAAAATTAAATACTATTTACTGAGAGTTGATAGGATTCTACAGAACAATAAAATCTCTAAAATGCATTAAAACAAATTGTAAAAATATTAAATGTGCTCAGAGCTGTAACTTGGTTCCCTAATGACTGGGAAATATGACATCATGGATGGACAATGTCTGTGTGCAGGCGATTTGGCTTCAATCTAAGGGAGTTGCAAGAGAAAGGAATACTGGAAATTGAATGTCTGCTTCTCTGTGCAGAGGTTTGCTTGTTTCTCTGCCTTGAGTCTCACACTGTGACATCATTCTAACAGAAATAGAAGAACGGCTTGCCAAATTTAGGACATACATGAACTTTGTGATTTCTTACATTTGAAATACATTCAAATCTTTAGAAGTCAGTTTGTGAACTATAAAAGAAAAGAACATGACTTCCTTTTTCCAAGAAAAGTGCCTCCCAACGCCTTCTTGGACATCATATTTCCTCCACAAAACCAGACTTCAATGAGCTAAGTGTGAGTAAATTAGAAACATATGTACCAAATTGTCTCTGGGTCTGACTGCTATAAAGGAAACACTCAAATCCTCTAACAATGAATGTGACAATCTGAATATTTGGGTACACATTAAACCTGCTTAAAAACTCGTAATTCAACACCTTTGTGAGAGTGTAACTTACTAGTATGCACCAATTCTAACACTTAGTACTATGTCGTTCTTCTTAAAACCAAGTCTAAATGCAATTTAAGATAAGATACTCCTTTGTATCCTCCAAGCAGCTAAGGCACCTCAGAATGAGAAAATAAATTTAAAAAAATACAAACAAAAACAAAAAGCCAAACTCAAAGAGGGGGAAAAAAGTCATACTTTTGATCTGGGCATTTCCATTTAAGCTTTTCTGAAAGGTGAGAGAGGAGGGATAGTTTTTGCATTATGAATGGCTATCAAAATTGTTTTTGTCTTACAGAAACTGAAATTGATTTATGTTTGATAAATAGCACTCAATACAATGCAAATACAGAAGAAATCTGTAACGCATTGTAGCTAAATATCAACACTATCAACCCCTCAACACGTCTCCTAAGTTGTCTGCACTCTGATTTATTTTCATGTTATTGGGAACTGATTATAATTGTTTTCATTTGCATTTGAGAATGCTTGTGCTCCCAGAAGATTTACTCTAGAATCTTTACTTTGAGAAGATTTGGAATGACAATAGGTGTCATTATCTTACTTTTAAGTATATTTTTATGCATGATCTATAGATCTTTAAAAAATTCAAGAAGTTTTAAAATCCATAATTTATGTCTCAATTCTCACTCCATATATTCTTATATGAGCAGCCCCGATATATCATAACATCTTTGACAAACCCTGGGTGCTGTTCACCTTATAAGGCATCTTCTCCAATGGAATGTAGCCAGCCTTGTGTATTTCATCAACCTTCAAAGATCGGTTCTGTTTCAGTGTGGGATGACTGTGTTTTGGCAAGAAGCAGTGAAGTCTTGAGTGTGTGGGGATTTAAAAATCAATCTCATCTTTCGTAACAGCACCAGCAGCCCTTTTAGTTTTAATGTCCCCAAATAATAGAGGCTGCTTGTTGCACTGGATGTAACGGGCTTAGCAGATTGTTTCCTAATTGGTGTTTTTCGTCTTAGCTTCAGCTCTGGCGTTTTCCTTCTGGATTTGAGCACAGCATTTCCTCAAGTGGGAGCCAGAGGAACTAGAGAGTCCCAGCCTTTGTGCAGGGCTGTGCAACCTGGGCTTTGTCGAGACAGGATTGCATTACCATGACATTTAAGGAGGAAAAAACAAGCTGCTCTGAATTGTGTCAATCTCACTTGTGATCTATTTTTGAACAATGTACTAGAAAGATATTCCCGTTCACACAGCACTAGTGATTTACCCTCTGGTGGATTCTACCCTTCCAGCTGCTTGGTGATAAATAAAGCCGGAGTGGAGAGAGACTGTAAATAAAAATTAACTGCACCCAGCCGGCCTCCCAATGCTTTCATTTCTGCATGCTTGTTTGATGAGGTACTTTTCAAGTCCTCTTAATTGCGATATAAAATAAGGCCTCTGGTAATCAAAAGTTCTAGAAAAAACTGTTTGGAGGGAGGCTGTCCACCTTGGTTGTCCTCAAATTTTTCTTGTTGGTTTTTCACTTCCCAACCTCATTGCCATTTCAATAACTCCGGGGTATATGACACCACGCAAACCTGACACTGCCGTGGCCAGACAGAGAATCCAGGAGTTCTGATCCTCCCACCGATACCTACCGTAGTGTGGAAACTCTCCTGTCTCTTTTACCGAGCCAAGACAGTGTTAGACAGCCTTCAAAGAAGTGTTTTAAGAATTGAGAGAGAAATATATACAGAAAGAGAAAGAAACAGAGACAGACAAGCAGATATGCACATACGCACATACAGAGGGAAGGAGACAAAGCTGGAGAGATGATAGGAAGAAATAAGGAGACCGATATAAAGGAACAGAGAAATGGAGAGAGACAGATACATACAGGGAGAGAAAGCCAGAGGGAGCAGAAAGGGAGAAACAGAGAAAAATACAGAGAGGAAGAGAGACACAAAAATAGAGTGAGAGTGACAGAGAGGGAGAGAAAAGCAAAATAGAGCAGCAACGCAGTTACACACTATAAATTCCCAAAACGGTGAGTACCCATGCGTGCATTTGGTCATCACTATTTACTGGTTTATGGACGTCTGTCTGGCACTTTCCTTTGTCCTGAGTGGCTTGCTGTGGACACAGTCTCTATTTGGCTCTCAGTCTGGTGATCCTCTCTCTCAGGGAAATTTAGTGCTCCACCCCTCAGCTCTATGTGTGTCTAGCGACTTTGGGCCTTGAAGTTGGAGACTTTCCTTTGTATAATAAAATCTGCACCACAGCAGGTTTCTCCTGTCACTAGAAGCAGAAAACAACTCTTGCTTTTTCAGCGTCCGTGGGCGGTAGCTGGCTGCCCTTTCAGTTCCGGATTTCCGTCGAAGATGTCCTAATTTTGAACAGAACAAATGGCACTTGCAGCACCCAACCCATCAGGAAATCCTGTTGTCTCTGCCTTTGGAAGATCCAGAGCCTTATGAATTGTCACCATTTCTCTGCTACTCACCACTGCAGCTGGAGCCACCGTCCTGTCACTGGCTTTGCACTTGTGCCCTCTGGGTCCCTGCTCCACAGCCTGGCTCCTTCAGACTGTTCTCACCCCAGCAGCAAGAGAGTCGCCGTGCAGGCCAACCACAGGTGCTCACTTCAGCAGCACAGCCACTAAAGCTGGAACATGCAGAGAAGAGGAGCGTGGTCCGTGCACAAGGATGACACAGAAATTAATGAGGCATTCCGTATTCTGTATGAATATACTAAAAGCAGCTGAATTGTAGACATGGAGGAGAACACATTTTACGGCACGTGAATTATATCTCAATTCAGCTACTGTAAACTAAATAGACAAAAGCAGATCATGCCCATCCTCTGCTCAAAACTCTGGAGTGGTTGTTTATTCCATTCAGAGTAAAATCTACGTTCTTAAAAAAGCCAAAAAGCTTCCCGTGATCTAACGCCCTCCACCCCCATCATTTACAATCCAAGCCTTTCTCTAGTTATTTTTTAACTCACATCAGTTGGATGCCAATTTGCACTGTTCCAGGAATGTGGCAGATACCTCCCACCTCAGCTGTCCCCTCATTAAGAACTCTTAAAGACAGGTGGACCTGCGTCCCCAAATTTGGTTCAATGTTGAGAGCAGTGATGCCACACACACACACACACCCTCAAGACAGTGTAGCAATGTATATTTACGTAGCAGGAGAACAGAGTGAACTTCTTAAACAGGTCTCAAATGGTGTGAAAGAGCAAGGAAAGGCGCATAGCTAGGGGTTTAACTGTGGTGAGCAGGTGAGTGGGGTTGGGTAAAGGTGCCCAGAACGGGGGGCTTGTGTGATCTGAATCTCCTGCCACTGTCCATGAGGGAGCACTTGGGCTTTCTTCTCAGCTCGCCCAGATGTAGGACAAGCTGAGATGGGGACCAGGACCAGCATTTGGCCAATGCGGCTTAAATGTTTTCAAGCATCAAAAAATGGAGTCAGCGTCTTTATCACACAGCTATTTGCTGAAACCTCGGGAGCTCAGTAAGTCTATTCTGAACACACCCTGCAAAATTCCCCTTCATCCCTCGTTGGTTTCTCCCCCATCTGTGTTCCTGGCTTGGTGTTGACTTTTTCACACATCACTGGTCACCTTCTCGTGTGTCCTGTCATTTTCCTAAAATACTCAGAATTTGCTGTCAGGGTTCCCCTGACTCCTCTCCTGACCTGCTAAAAATCAGCTGCTTGAGGGCAGGGGTCTTTGTTCCAAATGCAGATGAATCCCGCATGTCTGCAGCAGACCTGGCACCTGGTAGATGATCCGTAGGTACACACTGAGTGAATGCAGATGCTTGAGAAGCACTCAGCATCCACTCAATAACCCGGTTCTATGGGTTGGTGCAACAGTAACTGCGTTTTTTTTTTTCCATTAAAAAGTAAAGGCAAAAAACCGCACTTACTTTTTCACCAGCCAATTGTTGCCAAATTCTCTTCGGTGGCTCACCTTTTCAATAATTTTTTAACCTGAATCTTAGCCCTTGGAGCTATCAGAATTTTACCAGTGGTTAAAATATTAAAGCAATATCATGCATATGAGAAGTAAATTAGATATTTATGCCAGAAATTGTAACGATCTCTGACAGCTAGAATTATTATAGTTACTGAAAAACTAGCTTGATTTTGAATGTCTGCTCAAAGATAAGTCATTAAGTTGTAATTGTAAAAGCCTATCGAAGTTTTTAAGTGAGACACAATGACCGAGGCAGTGTTCTAAGAGGCTGTGAGGTAAGGCGGGGAGTTGGATTCTACTCTGTTTCTATTACTAATTAACTCTGAGTTATTTCGTCCACTACACTGAACAGTCTGTTGCCATTATAGGACTAACATGAATGTGATGAGAGTATATTTATTTTCTTACATGCACTGTTAGGATAACACACAATAAAAGTACCAAGTTGTCCCTTACTTGGCTAAAGAAGACATTATAAAAGACCCAAAAATATGCATATAACATGTAATGAAGGCCTTTCACTTTGATGCATTTAGGACTTGTTCTCTCTGGATTTGCATCTTGCACTGGCTGGAATAACAGTGGTGCCTTTAACCTTACTTTCTGATGTCATCACTTCTCTGAGGATTTCGGGGGGTTGCCATTATGATCGTCTTTTGGCAGTAGAATTTAAAAAGAAAATTCCAGGGACAACACTCTGGTTGAAGATCAGCACACTTATACCTGATCTTCAACCACTTATACCAGATCTTCAACCACTCCCTATACCTGCAACCTCTTCTTAGAATTTTCCTCCGCTTCCTGGCATTATCTGCAACCGAGATTCATGATGGAGATTCAGCATCCTCGGTAGCCATTTACGCAGGAAGCCACATGTTCTCCTGCATCCCAGAGGCTCAGTTTCAGAGGTGGGTCTCCTGTCCTCCCTGATGCTCAGTGTCACCTTCCACACCCATCCCCAAAGCTTCCACTGCTCTTTTGAAGTTTATGACATCTGGTTTTACAGATTTTAGAGGTTCTACTTTTTCTGTCATCAAGTAATCTTCAGCTCATTTCTTCTATTCTCCAAAAACTTACTTCCTAATTATTTAGACTCACCATCTCAACACTTCTTTTTGTTCTTGGAGACTGCAGTACTTTTGCCATGACTCTCTGAAATGCTGCACTATCTGTTCCTTTATGTACTTATTGCCATGACTTTCCTCTACTACTTCTGAGCCACTGACATATAGGAATTATGTGAATTTGCTAACACTCTGATGTGAATAATCCAGTTGTCCCATTCTCCGATCACATTCACCTCTTATTGCTTTGCTTCTTTGCTTAAGTGAAACATAAAAAAGATGCAGCCTCATACAGACCCTTTATTTTCTCTTTATCAGTTCCTTCTGTCTTTATTTCTCCAGTCATCTGGTTTATATTGCCAGGCTCATAAATAAATCTATCCCCTCGCAAATATTCTCACTTCCATTCCCTCCTTTTCCTCCTAGAAACACTTTACCCCAGATGATTCAGAAATCTGTCTTCATTGTGCCTATAAAGACCAATACTGCATAACATCATTAAATTTGGCAGCTAAGTGTCATCATGTGTTCATAAATTTCAAAACAAAATGGTCACTCAATTTTATATTATGGTCAGCTAACCCTCGCAGGCTTCCCATGCTATTTCATAATGTCTTTTTTTTTTCTTCAAATTTTCTACTTCTCTTCCCTTGGGTTATGGTTCATTACTGACTTTTCCATCAGACCAGAGTTGTGTTTTTCTTCAGTCACCAAATCTTCAAGTCTTCTTGCACCTGCACCTATTTTCATTTTTATTTTTAAATTGTGCAAGTATACAATGGTACCAAATGTGGATTCACCTTCTGTGATGAATTAAAAGTGTTCACTAGGCAATTATTACATCCTTCACTTTTTAGGATTTGGGGCGTAGTAGTAAAAATGGTAGATTAAATTTCCTTTCACATTGAAATTTTATTCCAGTGGATGAATAAACAGATAAGTAACTAAGATATTAGATAATTACAACTAAGATATCAGGCATCTACTTTCTCAGCAAATTTCAGTACACAATACAATGTTATTAACTGCAGTTATTGCCTGTTTATCTCGTGGTATACATTCTCTTTCTAGACATTCATCTGAGACATCTGCATCTTTTCACCTTAACCCTTTGTCTCCTTAACTCACTGTCCCCTAGTTTTCATGTCTCTTTAGTCTCCATCTATCTGGGAGAATTTCTTCAGATTTCTTTGTGTTTCATGACCTTGATGCTCTTGAAGAGTACTGGTCAGTTACTTTGTAGATTGTCCCTTAGTTTCAATGTATCTGATGGTTTCTCATGACTAGATTGAGGTGATGAGTATTTGGTGAAAATACTCAGTCTCCAGCAGTTCTTTATAGCAGTGTGGAAAAGGACTAATACACCCACCCCTGTGCTGTTCCTCAGTTCTCGAGGTCCTGGCCCTGCCTGATTTCTTCTCTCCATTTCTTCTTTAAAGTCTTCACATAAAAAATATATATGTATATGTTTCAAGATGTTTAATTACACTTAGAAAGAAAAAGGATAACTGCTCTATTTTTCCTATAAGCAAAATGCTAGTAGAAGCAGAAGCCTATTTTCTAACTTAAAAAAAATTTTTTTTGGTATTTTTGAGATTGTCTTAACTTTGCAACTTAACTTTTCATAGAATTAACAGGTGCATAATGTTGAGTGTTTCTATTTGATAATATGAAGTGCTTTTCTGTTTGTTCAAATCTACGTTTGTGCTTTTCAGGGATGGTTTTAAATTTTCTTCCTGTTACATTTGACATTTTTCAAAGTTTATTAGCAAGTTTATTAAACTTGTTTTCAAGGGAGTGCCATCATTATTCAAATTGAAAATTGTGCATTCTCTACCACTGTATCTTTTTAACTTGTTATTGTTTATGATATGAAAGCTATTACTGTATAATACTAAATCTTTCATTGTTTGAGATAGCTTTATCATTGCTTATATAGAATTTTCTAGTTACGTTATTGTATTATCTGCATAGATAGAATATTTTGTTTGTTGTTTTTATCAAATATTATGCCTCTGGTTAACTTATTTTACCTAATTTCATTGACTAATTCCTCTGGTACATTGTTAAACAGTAATGCAGATACAGTTTTTCAGGAATAGGATCTAGCTGATATATGAGGAATTAGAATAATGCCCCTATGAAATCATCTGGCCCTAGTGAAGTTTTAGTTTTTTGTTTGCTTGCTTGCTTTGTTTTTGTATAGTTCCTGGAATACATTCTTTGTAGAAATTAATGTTTACCTTTTCTGTGCTTAATTGAGTCAGTTTTGAGATGCAGGTAAGTCATGCACCAAGTTGCTCCTGTTGCCACTTGCTTGTTTCTGAACTTGCAGAGACCACCTGTACACTGCGATATGATGGTTCTGGTGACCAAGATGACAAGGAGAGTGAGTCATATTTGAGTGAGATGACTGCTAACGGAATGCGCTGCTGTGCACCTGTTTCTAATCGCCGGGACTCTAGTGTTGCGCTTCCTAAGCGAAATCTTTGCTTTTTAAGCTACTTCATTATTAACTCAAGCAGTGTTACTAAAAATGGGAGAAGGAACTTCTTTCACGCACTGTGCTTGACTTTTATTCTGGAAAGCTATCACAATAAAATTATTTTACTTCATTCCTTTTGGTATTTTATCTTCTAAGTTCTTCTAATGATTCATAAAATTCTGCTAACATTTAAGACAATTTTTTCTT